CTTTTTGTCCCCCTGAAAAATGGAAGAAAGCTTGTAGAAAGTTTGATTATTATGTTTGAGAACCAACCACATGTCTAGTGGTACCCTCGAGTTCAAAGATTTCCAAACTTCGGAGATCTTTTCAGCCCTTTATTTTTTGGAAATAAATTTTACCAGGAGTCAAATCAGATACAGGCAACCGAGTTCTGGTTTCCGTGGAATCAGGAGGCTCTGATTCTCGATCGCTGGGCTCTGCTCCTACTGCTGGTCCCCAGGCCAGGCTGGGAAATGGGGCTGTGCTTCTGGGATGGCCCTGCACCCAGAGCCTCTGTCTCTACACTCAGCTTCTTTCCCCTCCTTTTCAGCCACAAACTTCCTGACTTTGAAGGCCTGGCTGGAGCCCAAGAAGGCTTCACAGACCCCTGGGTATGCCCATCATGCAGGTTAAGTGTTGTCTCTGGTGATGATGCTGCCTGGAGCATGAACCAGCTGAGCAGGACCAGCAGGCACTTGGACACGGAAGGCCTGGGGTGCTGTCTCTGGTCAGACACGATCAACAGCCACTCCTGGCGTCCCTGGTCCCAGGAACCACCCCGGCTGCTGTGCCGGGGTGCTCTGCATACGCAGTGTGCTTTGAGTTCTTATTTCCTTTTTGAATGTGTTTCTTGAAAAACAAACCCTTAGAGGTCAGAAAACAGTTTATGGTTTTCAGAACGGTGACTGGAAGTAAAACTATAGTGTAACCTGTTCAGCAGATAGTTTATATAAGCTGTGAAAGAGCCACAGGTAATGTCCTCTCACCGCGGCACTGTTTGTCACCCTGTTCAAAGCAGCCACCTGTAGGATTCATTTCTTTGAGTGCTACCATTTCCCCAAAGAGATAAGCATAAAAAATGATTAAAAGAATTACATGTGATTTTTGCTTTTAAAATAAAATCTCGGTAGGTTAGCATCCTAATCTTATAGCTGTTATTTATCTTTTCCACTGATTTATTTATTTGCGTTAGAAAGGTAATACACACTAATGGTAAAAACAGAAATGCAAATCTTTCTGAAGGGTGTAAAATGAAAAGTAGAAGTCCCCTCTCATTACCCAGTCTTACTCCCCTGAGACGATCAAGGTTAATGGTTTCTTATGACCCAGAAAGTTTTTATGTTGTGTGTGTGTGTGTACACGTAATATTTTAACACAAATGATCTGGTTCTGTGATTACCTTTCCCACTTAAATATATATCTTGGCATACAGGCCTATCTCAGTCTTTTAAATGATTGTCTAGCTCTGGCATTTCATTGAATATTTTATATAATATTCCCATATTTAGGTTGTTTCCAGTTTTTCCCCTTATAAACTGCTATAATAAGCATCTTTGTATAGATTGTTGCATACTTGTATATATGCTAGTGTGTATGTAAGATAAATTCCTAGCAGTGGAGTTAGGTGAAAGTACGTGTACATAAATTAAAAAAATTTTGTTCTGCACTCCTTAAGACATATGAAAAGACATAAAGCATAAAAACAGCTTAAAAACATTGTTAACACACATAAGTTCTCCTTTGTACAAGCCTGATCGCCATCCCTCTTGTTCTACCCCGAGGGTGCCAGGATCCTAAATTTGGTATTTATTGTTCCCATGCAATGCTTTGAATGTTTTTATTTATTTATTTTTTAATTAATTAACTTATTTGGCTGCAACGGGTCTTAGTTGCGGCACATGGGCTCTTCGTTGCCGTGTGCAGGCCTCAGATCACGCGGGTTCAGTAGTTGCGGTGTGTAGGCTCTAGAGCGCGTGGGCTCAGTAGTTGTGGCGTGCAGCTTAGTTGCCCCGCGGCATGTGGGATCTTAGTTCCCCAACCAGGGATCGAACCCATGTCCCCTGCACTGGAAGGTGGATTCTTAACCACTGGACCACCAGGGACGTCCCTGAATGTTTTTACTTTTACATAAGTAGTACTTTGCTGTATATATTCTTCTGATACTTGCATCTTTTCCTCAGTATTATATTTCTGGGAGTCTTTCATGCTGATACCATTTCAGTACTGAAGTTATTCGGTACTGAAAAGAATACCAAGTTATTCTTTTCAGTACCGAATAACTTCAAATTATATGAATACACCACAAATTATATATCCATTTCCTGGTTAATGGACATTAAAGGTGTACCAGTTTTTTTTCTGTTACAAACAGTGCAGCGGTGAACATTCTTGTGTATCTCTCTTGATTGTATATGTCTGGGGATTTCTCTAGGGTATTTGCCTATGAGGGAACAGCTGTTCACAGAATATGAGAATCTTCAATGATATTAGACATTGTTCTCCAAAGTGGTTTTACACTCTCACTGCAGTCAGTTACTGGACATCCTCACCAATACACTTGGTATTGTCCAATCATTTAATTTTGCCAGTTTGATGTGAAATGCTTCTTGTGGTTTTCGTTCACATTTCTTGGATTACTCATGAGGTTGGGTGTCTTTTCATGTATTTTGTGGCCATGCGTGTTTCCTCTCGTGTGAATTGCCTTTGCCCATTTTTTTCCTGTTGGAGTGTTTGTCCTTTGTGATCTCCGGTGGCCTCGGCCTTTAGCGGCTTGAAGCAGGATTTCGGTTACCCAGCCAGAGGCTGAAATCAGGCCGAGGCAGTGAGAGCGCTGAATCCTAGTAACTAGATCAGTGGCCAGTGACAAGGCCCTGGCCCATCGGTTTTGTAGAGATGAATTTCCTCAAAGAGACGGAAAATAGTGAAACAAGTAAAGTGTTTATTAGGAGGAAAAAGGGTACGTGTGGATACACAGGGGCGGGCTCAGAGAGAGAGTCACGCCCTCGTGGTAGTTTGAATCACTTGTATAGGGCATTTCTTCCGGGTTTCCTCTGGCCAATCATCTTGCTTTGCCTGGCGCTGAGTCCTTATTTGGTTTATCTTAGAGTCCTCCCCTGTGCGCGCGTGGGCATCTCTTAGCCAAGATGGATTCTAGCGAGGAGGCCTATGGGTAGGTTGACATCGCCTACTATGGGGTGGTGCCCCCTCCCTTTTTGATCCCTGAGGAGCCTTTCTGCGCATGTGTAGTCGGTAAGGTCTCCTTGACCTCAAGAATGAGAAATATGTGGTCTCTTTATCTTTTATCTGGGCAGAACTCAGCTCCTCTTTGCCTCTGCCATTACTGTTATCTTGAAGTGTCCACCGGAGGCGAAGTCCAGTTATTTACCGTATTCCTGTTGTTGTTTTTATCAGGAAGTGTAAACAGGAGGCTGGCTGTAAATGTCTAACCTGGAGCCCATCTATCTCCTGCCTCACTTTCCTTATTGATTTATAGAATTTCAGTATATTTTGTGCTTACTGGTCTGTTATGGGTTAAATAATATCTTCTCCCAATCTGTTGATTCTCTTTTCACTTTTTTAAAATTTTTATTTTTTATAATTAATTTTTATTGGAATATAGTTGATTTACAATGTTGTGTTTCTGAGTCAGTTATACATATATCCACTTTTTTAGATTCTATTCCCATATAGGTCATTACTTAGCATTAAGTAGAGTACCCTGTGCTATACAATAGGCCCTTATTAGTCATCTATTTTATATATAGTACTGTGTATATGTCAATCCCAATCTCCCAATTTACCCCTCCTGCCCTCCACTTCCCTCTTGGTAACCATAAGTTTATTTTCTACATCTGTGGCTCTATTTCTGTTTTGTAAATAGGTTCAAATGTACCATTGTTTTAGATTTCACATATAAACGATTTCATATAATATTTGTCTTTGTCTGACTTACTTCACTCAGTATGACAGTCTCTAGGTCCATCCATGTTGCTGCAAATGGCATTATTTCATTCTTTCTGTGGCTGAATAATATTCCAATTTATATGTATACCACATCTTCTTTATCCATTCCGCCGTCGATGGACATTCAGGTTGCTTCCACGTCCTGGCTATTGTAAATAGTGCTGCAGTGAACATTGGGGTACATGTATCTTTTCAAATTATGGTTTTCTCCAGATGTATGCCCAGGAGTGGGATTGCTGGGTCATATGGTAGTTCTATTTTTAGTTTTTAAAGGAACCTCCATACTGTTCTCCACAGTGGCTGTACCAATTTACATTCCCACCAACAGTGTAGGAGGGTTCCTTTTTTTCCACACCCTCTCCAGCATTTACTGTTTGTAGATTAAAAAAAAAATTTTTATTTATTTAGCTGCGCCATGTCTTAGTTGTGGCATGTGGGATCTAGTTCCCTGACCAGGGATCGAACCTGGGCCCCCTGCATTGGGAGCCTGGAGTCTTAACCACTGGACAACCAGGGAAGTCCCATATTGTTTGTAGAGATTTTGATGATGGCCATTCTGACCAGTGGAAGGTCATACCTCATTTGCATTTCTCTGATAATTAGTGATGTTGAGCATCTTTTCATGTGCCTCTTGGCCATGTGTATGTCTTCTTTGGAGAAATGTCTATTTCTTTTCACTTTTCAAATGGGTGACTGAATGAACAAAAGCTGAACTAATGTAGTTTTTTTGTATTTACATTTTTGATAGTGTTAATTGCCCAGCTTAGACTTCGGTCAAAGGTGTATAAGAATGCCTGTTTCTCCACACTGCTGCCAACACTGGGCATTATCGGTTTTAATTTTTATTAATCTGATACCTGAAAAATGGTGCCTCATGGTTTTGATTTGTCTTAATTATGAGTAAGCCTGAACATATTTTCATAGGATTCTTTTTCTGTTCTTATTCTTCATTTCTTCTATTGGGTAGTTTGCTTTTTCTTAATTGACTTTCCTAATGGATTTGTAAGCGTTTCTGAAAGTTAAAGAAATTTGCCCGTTCTGCCATGTGTGTGCCTATATGTTGTACACATAGCCCTTCACTGCGGCCCACTGGATTAGGGAAACCTTAGCCTCTATAACACATTTACCCTCTTTGGCCCTTGAACTCTTGGCCACATTGAGCAATAAAGTAAAAAGTTGCAGTCGGAGGCTGTGGGGACGGCAGAGGGAGGAGTGTTGTTCTGTGTAAGTGGGAGCAGCTGAGGTAGGGAGCGCGCGTGTGCGTTGTGGACGGCCATCTGATATTGAGGCGGTTATAAAAATGGAGGCTGGGGAGAGAGTTTGAGTTGGGGTGACGGTGACGTGGCCTGCGTTCTTATTTCTTAAGAAGTGGAATGTTACTAATGCCTGGATGAGTAAGTCTGAGGTGTCTTGGGTGTAAGGTCGGATCTTAACAAAGGGCACCGCGAAACAGAGCAAAGCTTCAAGTGAGCTTTATTAGGGAGCGCTCCCGGGCGAGGTTCACTGGTCCGAGAGAAAGGGGCCAGAGAAGTCGCACCCGGGCGAGGGTTTGGGCAGAATTTATAGGGGAAGAAGGGAAAGGGGTGTGGTGAATCCGGGAGGGCACAGGGTATTCCTTATTTGGTGGTCTTTTCGGGTATCCTGGGGGACCGTTAGTCCCGCCCCTCGAAAGGCGGGAAGGCTGGGCCCGGTGCAAAGTCCCCAGGTCAGTGTCTGGAACTGGGTGGTCCGGAGAATTTCGGTCTGATGCAACCTGTGAATCTGATTGTGTTCCCCGGCCTCGGGCCAGTTGGCCTTACATTGGGTAGCTTGGCTACTCTTGGCTGGCAGTGAGAGTAGGGGATTGAATAGTTCTGAGGGTCCAGATGTGCCAGGCACTTAGCCTGATGGGAGGCGTTACTGGGTGGGGAAATGGAAGCTTGAGAAAGCTGATTTGCTCCAGGTCACTAGGCCGTAAGTGGCCAAGCTGGGTCTCAGCTCGGGACTAGCTCCCTCCCCAGGCCAGGTCTGTGCAGTAATACTAATGGTTCTACCATGATCAGGCTCAATTAGGGGAGGACTCAGCTTTCATAAAGAGATTTGTCAGGAGAACCTTCTAACAAGAGCATAAAATTAGGACATATTTTAAATAGATTGCCATCTCAACAGTGAAATTTCACATTTCTATGTTTTAATGTTAGTAATTGGCTTAAGTAGTCCTTCCAGGAGAACACAGGTAAATGAACAGTAATTATAATTGGACTCTATTGAAAAAGGTCAGTCATCTTAATAGTCCTGTTCACTCCTGGAAGGATGTTCAACACAGGAAACCAGCCATGAATCTATTTTCCCCTTCTTGCATTTGGTAGAATTAGATGACACTAGACTTTCTGTTCACTCATTTTTTCACTCAACAACTCTTCACTATGTGCTCACTTTGTGCCGTTTTGCTGAGAGCTGAGTGGTGAACAGAACTGACTCAGGTCCTGCCCTCAGGGAGCCTAGAGTCTAGTGGAGAAGATAATAAACAAGTAAACAAACAAATACTTAACGGTTGTCATCAGTGCTGTGAAGGACATTTGCAGGTGCCGTGACAGAGAATAATATGGGGACCACCTTTAGATGGGGGGAGCCCGGGAATGTCACATGCATTTTGTGGGTGATTGGGTACTAACATTTAATTTTTGGTTAAAAATCCCTCCTGTAATCAGCCTGCCTCTCAACAGTTTTCTTTTAGCACAGGAGAGACAGCAGCACTCTATGAAGATGAAAAGCAGGACATGGAATGATTTCTTCTGGGGGCTACAAAACTAAGACAATGACGAGGCTCCCTGGACAGCCTCTCCTGCTTAGGTCTTCTGAAGGGAAGTACCATGCACCCCCCTAGCGCAGTCTTTTCTTACTATCTGGGTGTGAATCATGATTTTTAATGGAAATCTCTTCCTTGAGGTAAATAACTACCACCCATCTTTTTTTTTTTTTTTTTTTTTTGCGGTACGCAGGCCTCTCACTGTTGTGGCCTCTCCCGTTGCGGAGCACAGGCTCTGGATGCGCAGGCTCAGCGGCCGTGGCTCACGGGCCCAGCCGCTCCGTGGCATGTGGGATCTTCGCGGACCGGAGCACGAACCTGTGTCCTCTGCATCGGCAGGCGGACTCTCAACCACTGCGCCACCAGGGAAGCCCGCTACCACCCATCTTTAATGGGAGGACCTGAAAACATCTAAGGAGAATACAAATTCTAGAGTCTGTCTAGAAATAACATGAAAAATTCCTCTCCTGAGTTTGCTGCCCTTCAATAAAGCCGCTTCCTCCAAGCGCATCTGGAAGGTTTGCTTTCTGCTCCCCACCCCTTGCTCCCCTTCCCACCTGCCAGCCCAGCAAGGGCCAAGTAGCAGCACTCGGCTTAACCGTCTTCTTGGCCCAGAAGTCTCTGCCAAGCAGAAGTTTCCTCAGTTCATAAACACTTTCATTTTGGTTGTTTGAGCCATGATGAGAGCACCAGGTTTTCAAGGATATAATTTGATGACTGTGACTAGGATTCACCACCCATCTCCCAGGACTTTCTTAGAGAATTTTAGTTGGTGTGTTTTCCCTTTAGTTATGTGTATGTAGAATCTGGATGACATTAAACTTTCTCTTCACTCACTCAACAACTGTTTACTAAACGCACACTTTGTGCCATTTTGGTAAGAGCTGAGAGAGTGGTGACCAGAAGAGACCCAGGTCCTGCCCTCATGGGCAAAACACCATTAATCAAACCACCATCCTTAAGCAAAACACCATTACTTAACACACCTAAACAAATTAACGATAATTCTTTGCATTCACCTAAATCCTCAGTCCACATTCAATTTTCTGGTCTTTTATTTGGCCTGGAAGAGGGCCTCTCTTTCTAGCCATTTTTAAAAAAAATTCTTAGTGTTGCTTTGCTTTCTTCCTATTCCCTCTTCCTAAGCAAAGTAACGTATAGCTCTAGACGATTTCCATGTATTTGGTCACCTGTGGGAGAGATTTCACTTTTCAGGGAGAGGGAATAAAAGTAACCTGAGTCGGACGTGCACGCGATGGAAATCAAATCCTTGCCGCCATTAAACTGGTGTTTGGGGTCCATCTTGTGGCCAGAAGGTTCTTAACACAAACCTGGACTCCCGGTTGCCCTCTCGTGGCAATAGGCAGCATGACACCCTAGGACCCTTTCCCTGCCTTGTGTAGGATTACAGAAGTAAAGATACAGATGAGGAAGGGAGTTGAGTTAACTTTTAACTTAACAGCCATAAAGCAGATAGGACTCAGAGATGAGCCAGGAGAGTGCCAACACTGGCATGGCATTTGCAATTGCTGCCTGCTGCCCTGCAGGATATTTAAGAAAACCCCAAATATGAAAATCCAAATTTACAATTTTGTGTGGCTGCGGTATGAATATATGACATATTCTCAATTATTAGTTTTTGATCATTATCCTGTGTCTGAATCACAGAACTTTAGAGCTGGAAAAGATCTTAGAAATTAGTCAACAAAATTGTGTTGAAGTTTTACTATTAGCCTCTGTACTAAGTGCTGTTAGAGACCTAAGATGATTTAGATACGTATAAACCCTCTCCTCAAGGAGTTAAATGTGTAGAGGTAAAGACAGATGAATGAACAGGTAAATGCCACGTAGTATGCAGTGACAGTGGAAGACCATGCTTGCTGTAGGACAGAGATGTGGAATGGCCACTTCTACCTGGAGGTCAGGGAAGGCTTGAAAGAGAGGAGGTAGCAGCGGACTTGTGTCTTGCAGAAGAGGGAGTTTTCCAGGTGGGCTGGGTGAGGGTGGAGATAGAAGAGGGAGGCCTGGGCAGTTGGAAAGCACACGCAGGGAGGCGGGACGTTGCATTGGGTGTCCAGGTACTGCAAATACGGCTGTAGCATGGGGTGGGAGGTACATAGTAGATGCTCCATAAATCCTTGCTGAATGAATGAATGAGAGAATGAATGATGATGACGGGAGTGGTGAGAGAGGAGTGTGAAGAGGTTATGTGGGGGACAGATCATATGAACATTATGGAATATGTTGCATAATTATGTTCCAAAATTCATAAGGAATATGAACATTATGCTGGAAGAGGTGAGGGAGGGTGGGGCAGGGACCACTGAAGTGCTTAAGCAGTGCAGCTGCAGGATCAGATTGATGTTTAAAAATAATTTGGCGAGGATTTCCCTGGTGACGCAGTGGTTAAGAATCTACCTGCCAATACAGGGGACATGGGTTCGAGCCCTGGTCCAGGAAGATCCCACATGCCGCAGAGCAACTTAGCCCGTGCACCACAACTACTGAAGCCTGCGCTCTAGAGCCCGGGAGCCACAACTGCTGAGCCCACGCGCCACAACTACTGAAGCCTGCGTGCCTAGAGCCTGTGCTCTGCAAGAGAGAAGCCACCGCAAGGAAGAGTAGCCCCCGCTCGTGGCAGCTAGAGGAAACCCGAGCACAGCAACGAAGGCCCAACGCAGCCATAAGTAAATAAATAAATAAACAAATAATTTGGCTAGAGAATTCCCTGGTGGTCCGGTGGTTAGGGCTCCGTGCTTCCCCTGCAGGGGGCACCAGTTTGACCCCTGGTCAGGGAACTAGAGCCCGCATGCCACAACTAAAGATCCTGCATGCTGCAATGAAGATCCCGCACACAGCAACGAAGACCTGGTGCGGCCAAAAAAATAAATAAATATTAAAAAATAATAATTTGGTTAGCAGTGAGAAGGAAGCAGAGAACTAATTAGCAGGCTACTTTAATAATTTGGTGAATGATAAGGGCCTGAGATGGTGGAAATGGAACATTGAGGAAGGAATGGATTTAAGTACTATTTATTATTTTTATTTTACATTTTTTCCAGTGTTATTGGAACATCATTGACATATAACTGTGTTAGTTTAAAGCATACAACATAATGATTCGATAATATATGTATATTCAAAATGGTTACCGTGGTGTGTTTAATTACCATTCACCACCACCCATAGTTACAAATTTTTTTCCTTGTGATGAGAACTTTTAAGATTTACTCTCTTAACAACTTTAAAATATATAATATTGTTAACTACTACAGTCACCATGCTGTAAGTTACATCCCCAGAACTTATTTATCTTATAGCTGGAAGTTTGTACCTTTTGATCACCTTCACCTAATTCCCCCACCTCCCACCCCCCCCACCTCTGCTGACTGCCAATCTGCCCACTGTTTCTATGAGTTTGGTTTTTTTAGATTCCACAAATGAGATAATACAGTATTTGTCTTTCTCTGTCTGACTTATTTCACTTAGCATAATGCCCTCCAAGTCCATCCATAAATAAAAGGATTTCCTTTTTTGTTATGGCTGCATAATAGTCCTGTGTGTGTGTGTGTGTGTGTGTGTGTGTGTGTATGTATGTATATATATATATATATATATATATATATATTTATATACCATATTTTCTTTATCCACTCAACAACACATAGGTTGTTCCCATGTCTTGGCTATTGTGAATAATGCTGCAATGAACATGGGAGTGCAGATATCTCTTTGAGATGATTTTGTTTCCTTCGGTATGTATACCCAGAAGTGGAATTACTGGATCACATGGTAGTTCTATTTATAAATTTTTTAAGGAACCTCCATATTGCTTTCCATAGTGGCTCCACTTTACATTCCCACCAACAGTGCACGAGGGTTCCCTTTTCTCCACATCCTCACCAACACTTGTTATCTCTTGTTTTTTTTTTTTTTTTTATAAATGTATTTTATTTATTTACTTTTGGCTGCATTGGGTCTTTGTTGCTGTGCGCGGACTTTCTCTAGTTGCGGCGAGCAGGGGCTGCTCTTCGTTGCAGTGTGCAGGCTTCTCATTGCAGTGGCTTCTCTTGTTGCGGAGCATGGGCTCTAGGTGCACGGGCTTCAGTAGTCGTGGCACGCAGGCTCAGTAGTTGTGGCTCATGGGCTGAGTTGCTCCGCAGCATGTGGGATCTTCCCAGACCAGGGATTGAACCCGTGTCACCTGCACAGATAGGCAGATTCTTAACCACTGCGCCACCAGGGAAGTCCCTGCCCATCTTTTAACTGAATTGGGTTTTTTTTGTTTTTTTTTTTTTGCGGTACGCGGGCCTCTCACTGCTGTGGCCTCTCCCGTTGCGTGGAGCACAGGCTCCGGACGCGCAGGCTCAGTGGCCATGGCTCACGGGCCCAGCCGCTCCGCGGCATGTGAGATCCTCCCAGACTGGGGCACGAACCCGCGTCCCCTGCATCAGCAGGCAGACTCTCAACCACTGGGCCACCAGGGAAGCCCCTAACTGAATTGGTTTTGCTTTTGTTTTGTTTGCTATTGAATTGTATACGTTCTTTATATATTTTGAATATTAACCCCTTATTAGATTTATGATTTGCAAGTATTTTCTCCCATTCCATAGGTGGCCTTTTGATTTTGCTGATGGTTTCCTTTGCAGAAGCTCTTTAGTTTGATGTAGTTCCACTTGTTTATTTTTGCTTTTGTTGTCTTTGCTTTTGGTATCAAATCCAAAAAGATCATTGCCAAGGCTGATGTCAATGAGCTTACTCTCTATGTTTTCTTCTAGGAGTTTTATGGTTTCAGGTCTTATGTTCAAGTCTTTAATCCATTTTGAATTGATTTTTGTGTATGGTATAAGATGGGGGGTCCAGTTTCATTCTTTTGCATTGGCTGTCCAGTTTTCCCAACACCATTTATTTTTTATTTATTTTTTTTGTGATACACGGGCCTCTCACTGTTGTGGCCCCTCCCGTTGTGGAGCACAGAGTCCAGACGCACAGGCCCAGCAGCCATGGCTCACGGGCCCAGCCGCTCCGTGGCATGTGGGATCCTCCCGGAACAGGGTACGAACCCACGTCCCCTGCATCGGCAAGTGGACTCTCAACCACTGCACCACCAGGGAAGCCCCAACACCATTTATTGAAGAGACTATCATATCCCATTGTATATTCTTGGCTCCTTTGTTGTAA